GGGCCCGTTAACGGGCAGAAGGGGGACGGGGAGCCCTGGCCGGGGGCTCACGGCTCCGACGGCACCTACCCCCTGACGCCCATCCACGATGGCCTCCCCGGCGCCAAGGGGGTGGTGCCGCCCGCGGTGCCCGCCAGCAGCGGGGCCATCGGGCTCGGCGGCTCCCCGGTGGTGTCGGCCAACCTCGCCGACCCCATGTACCCCGGCAACTCCTGCGGGGCAGCGGCCGCCGGCTCCGGCGGGCTCGGGGCGTCTCAGGAGTACCCCTCAGGCTACGGTGGCACCTACTTGCCCTCCGGCTACTGCACCCAGCCGGCGGCAGCGCTGCCCCCCCCGCACCCGTCCGCCCTCCACGGCTCGGGGCTCCTGCAGCCCCCGCACCCCTCGCCCGCCCTGGTGCCGGGCTATGGCTCCTCCGGCCCCGTGTACAACTACGCCGCCGGCACTTACCCTCCGCAGCCGGGTTATGGGGGCATCCACCCTCCCCACCCCCCCGGCTCCTACCTGCCCTCTGGCATCGCGGCGCCCACCCCCATCCCGGCCCCGCCGCCTGCCGCCCGCCCGCCCGGGGTACCCGGGTACGGCTACCAGGGCGCCGGGCTGGCCCCGCTGGCCGTGCCGCCGCTGGGCACCGAGGCGGGCGCGCTGAAGAGGAAGGCGTTCGACATCGGCGGGGAGGACGACGGGGAGGGCAGGTACAGGAAATACAGCTACGAGCAGCCAAAGTCCCCCTACCCCCTGTCGGACAACGGCGAGTGCCGGGGGAACGGGTTCGGCGGCACTGCCGAGTCCCCCCAGGTGGCCTTCAAGCCCGGGAAGCGGCCGGCGGGAGCAGGGAACGCCGAGGAACACGCCGGCAAGTACGGTGGGCAGCAGATGAAGAGCATGGTCTCGCCGCCCTACGGTGCTGGGGATGCCCCGCTGCGGCCGGCAGAGCCCTTCGAGAAGTTCAGCCCCCCCTTGGCCAACGGGGAGCGGGCGGCAGAGCCGGGACCCCCCTTCCCGCTGCGGCTGCCCCCCAAGGCGCCGGTGTTCGGCAGCGCCCCGGTGGAGGAGCAGCCCAAGAACGTCGACCCGCTGGTGCTGGAGCTGGTGAACACCAAGGTGGTGGAGCGGGGGCCGCCGGTGCAGTGGTCGGACGTGGCCGGGCAGGTGTCGGTGAAGGCGGCCATCGAGGAGGAGCTGGTGTGGCCCATCCTGCGCCCCGGCGCCTACAGCGGCGCGAGCCACCCGCTCCGCACCCTCCTGCTCTTCGGCCCCCGCGGAACCGGCAAGACGCTGCTGAGCCGCTGCATCTCCACCCAGCTGGGCTCCACCCTGCTGAGGCTCAGCGGGACCACCCTGCTCTCCACCTGGAAGGCCGAAGCCGAGAAGATCCTGCAGACCGTGTTCTTCGTGGCCAGCTGCCGCCAGCCCGCCGTGGTGCTCATCACCGAGGCCGAGGCCCTGCTGGGAGCCCGGGCGGGCGAGGACGGCGGGCAGGTGGGCAACCTCAAGTCCCAGCTCCTCTCCTACCTGGACAACGTGGCTACCTCATCCGAGCAGAACGTGGTGGTCATCGGCACCACGGCCCGGCCGGGCAGCATGGACGAGGCGTCGCACCGGCGCTTCGGCACGCGGCTCTACATCCCGCTGCCGGACGGCGCCGCGCGGCGCCACATCCTGCGCCAGGCCCTGGCTCAGCAGAGCTGCTGCCTGAGCGAGCGGGAGCTGGCGGCGCTGGCCCAGCGCACCGAGAGCTTCTCCGGCGCCGAGCTCCTGCGGCTCTGCCAGCACGCCGGGGCCGCGCGCCGCGCCCTGCCGGGACCCCCCGCCTCCTACCAGGACCTGGAGAAGGCCTTCTGCAAGGTCCGTCCCGCCGCCTCCCAGAAGGAGCTGGACTTGTTCCTGGAGTGGGATAAGATGTACGGCACCAGGCACTGACGGCACCGGGGGGACGGGCCCCGAGGCCGCGGGGTTGGATCTGGGGCACAGGCGCAGGGTTGGGGTCTGCGGGACTCCGGCTCTCCAGGTGGGGGTTGGATCCCTCCTCCCAGAGCGCAGGAGGCACCGGGCAGCACCACATACCTCATCTCTCCTGTTTCGGACTCAGCCGGGGAGTTTCCCCCTCCGTGGTTTCTCGGGAGTGTCGCCCTCGACTCAGGATAAACCTATTTATTATTTTCCCCTCTGTCCGTCCCTGGGCCGGCGGTGCCAGCGGGGCTGGAGGTGTCCCAGGATCCGGCTCTGCGCCATCGGGATCCCCTCCGGCGTCGGAGGCACGAGCTCCCCCGCCCACCCAAAAGCTTTATTAGTATTTTTTACCTGCTTTTATTGTTCCCAACGGAAATACCTCGGGCGTCTTTCGAGCCAAGCAACCCCTTCGCCCCTGGCAATGACCTTGACTGGGGAGGGGCGGGCAGGGGGGACCCAAAAACCAGGTGACACCCCAAAACCAGGGAGTTCCACCCCAAAACTGGGGGGTGACACCCCAAACCAGGGGTTTAAACCCCACACCAGGGGGTTCCACCCCAAAACCAGGGGGTTACACCCAAAACCAGGAAGTTTTGGAGTAAAATGCTGTAGATTGTTGAATATCCTAGACTTGGGTTTTTATTTTTGTAAGGTCTGTAGTATTTTTTTGTTTGTTTGTTTGTTTTGTTTTGTTTTTTCTTTTTAACTACTCAGGAAAAGAATTACCTCAGAAAAATGAAAGAATGTGTTTTTAAAAACTCTTTTTATCTTCTCAGAAAAAAAGGAAAAAAAAAAGAGATTTTTTTAAAGAGTTTTCCGACCTGGGACAAAGCTGCCTCATGCATTTGCTTCCAAAGGGGGTGAAGAAAGGAAGAAAGAAAAGGAAGAAAAAACTTGAAGCTGTTACAAAGATGAAATTTGAATGTATTTCGGGTGCTTTCCACGTATATTATGCCATAATTTTATTTTTAATTTTTGCTTTTAACATTGTTATTGTAGCGTTTGGTGGCGTAACGTGTCTTCAACGGGAAGTTTAGTGCCGTAGGTTGGGAGCTGTTGCTGGCACCACTTTTTGGAGCAGGGGGGGTCCCCGTTCCCAGAGCCAGGCTGGGACTGGGGGGGGATCCCCCTCCCAGTGTGGGTTCGGGGCCCAGGGGTCTCCCAGGCTTTGCTGGGAGGATTCCAGTGCTGACTCTGCTCCTTTTTCACCTGAAATCAGGGAATTTTGGCTCCTCTGAGCATTGGTGGCCACAGATTGGGGAAATTACTTCTCCCGGGCCCCCCAGGAACCCATTAGGGCTGAGCCAGGGGTTTTGCACAGAGCATGAACCCCCCCAACCCATCCACTGGCCCCCCACCCCTTTGCATCGCTGTGGGGGTGGGTTTTTTCCCCCCTAATTAAAAAAAAAACACACAATGATTTTTATTATTTTTAGTGCTCTATAGATGGGGAAGCAGCTGCTCCAGGCCCTCCCCTCAGAGCAGCCCCCCCCAAACCTCAGGGTCTGCACATGCAGAGAGAACAGACCCCTCACGGGGACTCTCCCCACCCCACCCCACCCCACCCCACCCTGAAGTGTCTGCCAGGTTTTTTCCCAGTTTTTCCCAATTTTTCCCACAGTTTCCTATTGCATCCAGGGCATTACCAGGGCACCCCCTTTGCTCCCCCTCCCCCCCTCCAAAAAGTGGTGCTGGGTTCCTGAAGACTTATTATTATTATTATCCTATTTGTACACTCTCTGTAACCATTTCTACCTCATTTTGCAACATATTGTACATGAAAGTATTTAAATTCATGTCTTATTGATGTCTGAGACAGACAAGCTCTAGGGCTGGGATGGTCTACCTCAAGAAATGCTGTATTTTAAAAAAGAAAAGTATTACACAGTATTAAAGAGATTACCTGAACAATTCCTGTCCTTTGGGGCGAGGGTGGGTCCAGGTGTGTCCCCTTCCCTTGTTATGGGTTTGGGGGGGTCCAGGTGTGTCCACTTCCCTTATTAGGGGTGAAGGGGGGTCCAGGTGAATCCCCTTCCCTTGTTTGGGGTGTTGGGGGGATCCAAGGGGGTCCCTTTCCCTTGTTAGGGGTGTCCCATCCCTTGCTATGGGTGATGGGTCCAGGTTTGCCCTTCCCTCCTTCGGGCAGTGGCACCGATGTCCTGCCGAGGAGGGGGCCCTGCTGGAACGTCCCCCCCACTTCCCCCCGGGCCTGGGGGGTTTAGGGGGGTCTCGGGTGGGTTTGGCTGCTGGTGAGGACCCACCCAGCACTTGCAGATACAGGGGAGGTGCAGGAGGTGGGAATGGGAATGACGGGGGAAGAGGGGCAGGGGTTCGGTGGGTGCGAGGGTGAGGAGGTGGGTGCTGGACCCCCGGTCGGGAGGGGACACGCTGTTATCCCTGGGTGGTGGCCGAGAGGTGCTGGAGCCTTCGTGCTGGCGCTGAAACATCCGGAACAATCCGACCTTTATTGGGACCCCCGGGGTTCGGGCGCTGTGGATAAATGACGTGGAGAAAGGCCGGGAAAATGGGAGGAAGGCTCTGTCACCTCGGGGCTGCGCTGTCACCTCGGGGCTGCATTGCCACCTCGTGGTTGCGGGGTCGTCGCCCTGACCCCGAGCGAAGCTAAAAAACCCGGCTCTGCTCCGTGGATTTGGGGTGGGAGAGGAGCAGGCAGGTCCCGGGATGGGGAGGGGTGGGTGTTACATCCCCCCTCCTTGGGGAGGGACAGGGGAGCTGCTGCCCTGGCCTCTGGGAGAGGGGAGGAGGGTGGTGGAGGTGTCCCAGGGAGCAGTGACTGTCCCCATCCCGCTCCTCCAGAGCCCGGATATCCCAGCCCAGGTGAATCCCACGGATGCAGGTGGGATGCTCCAGGGAGAGGGGGATGTGGGAAGCAAAGGATGCCGTGGCTGGACAGAGGGATGGATGTCCCTGGAACACACTGACCTGTGAGGTCGGGGGGGGGAATTGTGAGATCAGCAGGGGGGTTCCGTTGTTCCTGGGCCACCCTGATGCCAAGGGGCACCCCAATCCATGCTGGAACCCGAACGATGCTGGTACCCGTGGGACTCGTCCTGCTCTTGCTGGCCGCGGGTGGCCGGGGCGATGACACGGTGGCCGCCACCGTGGGCCGTCACACCATGGGCCGCATCGCCGAGCTGCTGTCCCGCTCCGAGTGCCTCCAGCTCCAGGCAGAGCTGAACGGGCCCGACAGGGAACTGGAGGAGCTGGAGCTGGAGCTGGAGCATCTCTCCGAGAGGAGCAGCCCCGCCCCACCCCGCCGGACCCGCCGCGGCCCCAGGGGATGCTCGGAAGCCCTGCGGGACTGGCTGGTGACGGCAGGAGAGGCGACGACCTGGGACCGGCTGGTCCGGAGCCTCCGCCAGATCGGCCGCTCCGACATCGCCCGGGAGCTGGGGAAAAACCTGAACCAAGACCGGAGCCTGCAGCTGCAGAGGAACGTGGAGGGATACAGCCAGAGCGTGCAGCACCTCAGCTCCGTGCAGCTGCAGCCCGGGGGGGCGAGGGGCAGGAGGGCCCCTCTCACCGGGGACCTGCTCTTCGAGCGGCACCGGCCCCCCCCGTACAGCAGAGACCCCCTGGGCTGGGTCCAGCCCGTGGTCCTGGGCGTCCTGGGAGCCTTCCTCACCTCCACCCTGCTCACCATGACCCTGATGTACTACTGCCACTGGAGGAGGCTCCTGGCTGCCTGAAACTGGGATGGTTCCCGGACTGCAGCATCGCCCACAATCTGCTGGGGGGGAAAACAAGACCCAGTAAAGCCTCTTGGAGGGACTGAGATGAAGAGACAGACCTCGTGTGTTCTCCTGGGCAGGGTAGGGCCCATCCTTGGGTCACCCAGGGCTTCTCTTTATATCAGGAACGGGTTTGCACCAATCCAACCAAGTGGCCTACGAGCATCGGAGAGGGAAGGGAAGGGCAATTACCCCGAGTGCAGCTTTCAGGTTAAATTCTACACAATTTACATAATGCTTTGTTTTTTTCCTGAGTGGAACGGGACCCGCTGCCCTCGGGGAGCCGCTTCCTGAAGCACTAGCATGGCCAGTTCCTGGCACGGAGCTGTCCCTGCGTCCTCTCAGGTGGCTCCTGCCCGTCAGTGAAGGTCAGGCCCAGCGGTGCCGGGGCTGAGGGGCTGTTCTGCCATCTGTCACCTCGACCCCCCGTGCCGTGGAGCGTCTGCCTTGGCCGCGGGGAGCCTGAGGAGCAGCTCGGAGCTGGTGGATGGTGGGAGCGGGGCATGAGCTGGTGGGTCTTGGAGTGTTCACTCTGGAGCAGAACGAGGGCAGGTCCCCACCAGCCACAGGGGCTGCTGAGGGTTGCAGGTCCCCCTGGAGCAGTGTGGAGCTGCAGGGGTAGCAAGGGAGCACATGCAGGGGGGCTGTGACAGGGTATGTCCCCCAAAGCATTGCTCAACATTCCTCAAACAGGGGCTGGAATACACTGGGATGGGGCTGGGATGAGCTTTGTGCCGTGCCCAGGGGGTTTTGATGTGATTCTCCCAAGATGAGGGGCCTGGGGGCTCCTCCAGGGCAGGGGTTGGCGCTGGACATCCACACTTCAGACCAGCCCCACCATGCAAAGCCATCCCTGGGGTCCTGCCCTGGCAGCCACAACCTGTCTGGGCCGAGGGTGTGGATTTTGGTGACTAGGGGGCGGTTGCTGCTGTGAGAAGGTAACAGAACGACAGGGCAGCCAGGAGAAGTTGTTAAAACAAGATGGACGTACCTCTTTATTGCAAATTCCAAAGTAAAAAGATGTACAGTACAAAGGAACTCAAAAGTTCAGACATGGAACTCCCGGCCCGTCCCTCCATCGCCTTCCTCCTCCTCCCTCCCCCCAGCTCCATCCTCCTCCTCTCCTCAGGTCAAACAGAACAGAGAGTAAAGCCAAGGGGGGGAAGGGGGAGCACGGACAGCTCGGGGGGAGCGACCTGAGTGGGGTGTCAGAGGGAAGAGCCGGCTCTGCCCCGGGCGGAGGGTGCGGGACTTTCGTAGCAGCATTTTTGGCACCCCCCAGTCCTCCCCGAGTGCCCCGCTCTGCCTGCACACCCCTGGGTGCCTGAGACCCTCAGCACATCACACTCGCTCAGTAACTAAGCCTCACAACACCCCTGTGAGGTAGGGAATGAGCCACCCCATTTACAGGTGGGGAGAGCTGGGAATGCTCCGTCCCCGTGTCCCAGTTAAACCAGTGCTGTCGCTGTGGGACACTGGCGAGGTGCAGGATGGCACAGCCACGCCCTGGGCCCTGCAGCGCCAGCGGTTTGCTTGGACTGGCCTCAACCAAGCAGGAAAATTCACATTTGTCGAGCGAAAAACTGGACCAAAACTCAAATGGGAGAAACGATTCCGAGGTGACCGAAACTCAAAACAGGAAAAATGACTCCAAGGTGACGCCCCGGACGTTCAACCCCAGGGTAAGTCCTGCCCTTGGCAAGGGGTTCACACCAGCTCAGCCCTTCGGGTCAGGAGGGGGAGTTGGTGGTGGGGTGCAGGTGAGGGGTCACCTGCCACCGGCTCCAGCCCCAATCCAGGGCCCTTCAGCACCACAGAGCAGCAGGACCCTCCACTTGTCCCCCACCGACCCAAACCCTGTCACTCCAGGGGCACCTCACGGGATAAGGGTTGGTCTGGAGAAGGGAAGCCAAGAACAGGGGTGGAAGTGCCAGGCCCTGGCAGGGGGACCCCCAACAGCACCCCAATGCTCAGAGCTCTTGACCTGCCCTCAGGGGAAGGACTTGGGGGGGGCTCTGCAGCTGCTTTGGGTCCTTTTTTGGGTCCTTTTAGTGCAAGTGGCAGGAGCTGCAGGGTGAGTGAGGGGTTCCAGGGTGGGGGGCTGCAGGGTGAGAGGTTCCAGGGTGAGTGAGGGGTTTCAGGGTGAGGGGTTACAGCGTGAGACACCACAGACCAACGTCCTTCCCTGCCAGAGCAGATCCAACACGGAGCATTTTGACCTGCCAAGGGCACCCACCTGCACCAGCCATGGGAGCCCTGAGCAGGTTCTGAGTCCACCCCCACAAAGGCACCGACCCCACAGACCCAGCCGTGTCCGCCTGCAGGCACCCAACACCAGGTAACACCAAACACCTCCCAGCAGCTCCTCCTGCCCCTCACTCTGCTCCACAAAACCACCCTAAAAAAGCCCTGGAGGAAGCACAGAGGAGGAGGAGGAGGAGGAGGGGAGGGAGGATGCAACCAGGCAAAGAACTGGGACACCAAGACAACCTTCCCTTGTACAGTGAAAAGGGTAACGTTTATTTAATTCTCTTTTGGCTTATAGTAATTGTTAATCATGTTGGGTAAGACCGGTATGAGCCACCATGCAGTTTCTAATACACTAATCTTCGCTATTGAGCTTTTACAGCTTTAACAGGTGTTTGGGTTTTTTTTATTATTATTTTATATTTTGTTTTATTTTATGTTTCTTTTGCGGCAGAAAAAATTAAGTAATTCGAACTCAGGTGTGGCCTCTAGGGAACGCCACGGGGTTGGCTGAACTTTTGCTCAACGTTGGCTTCTATATTTTAAAAAAAAAAAAAAAAAGGTGAGGAGGAAAGTGAGTAAAAGCAGCTCGGACTGGCATCTCGCTCTCGCCCTCCCCTTTTGGAGTCACGGATTGAACCCAGAGGGGAGGGGTTTGGAGGAGGGGGAGGGAAGGGAACTGCTCGGGGTGGGGGTGATTTTCGGCTACGGTTTTTAACGGTGACCCCCCCCTCCCTCGCTCTGCTCCCCCCACCCCAGGATACAGTGCGTGAATTCCACGCAGGAGTTGGAATTCGGAGCTTCGGGTGCCACACGGGGGTCCCTGAGGCTCCTGGCCCGAAGTTTCCCCCTCTCTTGGCTTCACCCAGCGAAGCCCCATCGTGTCCCGCTCCCTTCAACCCGGGGAGGAAATCACGGGAGAAAAACCACCCCAAAAACCCCCCCTTCGACTCTCCTTGAGCGGAAGGACCAACTCCAGCCAACGAACCTCCTCCCTCCCCCTCCTGCTCAGCAGCCCCCTGTGTTTCATACGGATCTGGCATTAAAAAAATAAATATCTATACAGAGTTTGAAGGGACTTTTTATTTTAAAGTAATCGAGTAGCTTCATGAGTTGCCAGCACGAACGCACCGAGCGTCACCTACGAGACTCAGCCCAGCCTAAGGACAAGTTCAGCCAAATCTTGCATAGAAGTGGTCGACTTATTGCACATTGGAACCCAAAAATAGAGACTTTTGCTGCTGCAAAGATCACTTGCAATAAAGCTTTTGTTAAAATCTATTTTGGAGGGGGGATAAGGGGGGTGTTTGGAATTTTTTTTTTTTTTTTTTGGTTGGTATTTTTTTTTTCTCCTTTGGGGGACGTTTTTTCCTGGCTATCTAAAGTCTAAGGACAACAGAAAAAATCTTAAAAAAATAAAAATAACCATGGACAATGGCATAAGCCAGAAGCCATTCTATAATTTTTTTTTTTTGTAGTTCTTTGTATTTACAAAAAGGCATGCCGATAAAATAAAATGATATATTACAGTATTTATAACGTCTCTTAAAAAGTTCAACCACACTTTTCAGCTATTTTTTTCCCCTTTTTTTTCCCTTTTCTTTTAATGTTTGTGTTTTTTGTGCTGTTTACAATGTAGCCTGTACATATGTATGTAGATTTACGTTTCTTTTTTGTTTGTTTGTTTCATCATTATTATTGTTATTATTATTATTATACATCCTTGGAGCAACAGGGGCAAGGCAGGACAGGCGAGGTCCCTGCTGTGGGGCAGAGCTGCTCCCGTGCCGTGGCTGCCCCGAGGACGCCGCGGTGGCACAGATGGCTGCTGGATGGCTTCCTGCTTGGGTCTGGTTTATTTTTAAGTGATTCCTGTCGTTTTCTGGGTTATGGGATTATGCAAACTTGAGATTCACCCTCCTGTGGAGTTCTGGCCTGTTGGGTTTCTCCCCCCACCTCGCTCTGGGTACCCTCGGTTTGGTTGGGGCCAAACGTCACCTCCTCACCGACCCTTCTGTCCCCCCTTCCCTGCACCCACCCGAGCCCCCCCAGCCCTGAAGAGACCCCCCAAGCCCAGCAGGGCTGGCCTGAGAACTGGCTGAGCCACGAGGACGCCCCGAGAGGGAGCTGGGGATGAGGAAACAGAAACGCCTGGAGGTGGCTCGTGACGTCCTTCCCCTGCTGCAGCGAGACCAGGCAAGAGGTAGCTCCGGTTCCCCCCACCCACCACGGGGCCACGATGGAGGTCTGGGAGATGGGAGGGAGGTGAAGGCACCCGACAGCTCCTCCTGTGCCCCTGCTGGGCTGTGTCCCCCCCCCAAAAACCCTCCTGGCACACCCCGTGCCCCGGGAAGGGCCACGCTCCCAACGCCGGCTCCGCGCGAGGATCCCGGGTTCGGCTCCGCGTCCCCCCCGACGGGACAGCCAAGGGGGAGTCCCATCCCCGTCCCCCACCTCGTGGGATTGCCGTGGGTGAGCCCCCCCAAACTCCCACCAGCAGAGATAACACGCTGCCTTTTTTTTGTTTTCTTAGCTTTTATCTCTCCCAAAAGAGGAGTCTGCGCCGCGGGGCGGAGGCCGGACAGCAATTAATGCTAAATATTGCAGGATACAACTGACCTTGCTGGCTGGTTGAAGCCCTAGGTTTTGGGGTTTACAGTGACATGGATTAACAAGCCATTCCCAGATTTATCCTCTCCCCTTGGGTGAGG